GACACGGACTCACCTGAGCGCACCTCCAGGGCCAGGCTGCACTCGGCCGAGCCCGCCCCGTTCTCCACCACGCAGACGTAGAGGCCGGACATCTCCAGGGTGAGGTTGGTCAGCTTGAGGGTGCCCCTGGTCCCGTCTGCGGGAGAGAAGATCGGGCGCTGCCCCAGGGAAGATCTCCCCACCCAATGGGACCCAAAACTCAAAGCTTCTCCAAACCCAAAGCTTCTCCATCCCCAAACCTTCTCCACACTCAAACCTTCTCCACCCCCAAACCTTCTCCAAACCCAAACCTTCTCCAAACTCACACCTTCTCCAAACCCAAACCTTCTCCAAACCCAAACCTTCTCCAAACCCAAACCTTCTCCAAACCCAAACCTTCTCCAAACCCAAACCTTCTCCAAACCCAAACCTTCTCCAAACCCAAACCTTCTCCAAACCCAAACCTTCTCCAAACCCAAACCTTCTCCAAACCCAAACCTTCTCCAAACCCAAACCTTCTCCAAACCCAAACCTTCTCCAAACCCAAACCTTCTCCAAACCCAAACCTTCTCCAAACCCAAACCTTCTCCAAACCCAAACCTTCTCCAAACCCAAACCTTCTCCAAACCCAAACCTTCTCCAAACCCAAACCTTCTCCCCAAACTCAAACCTTCTCCAAACCCAAACCTTCTCCAAACCCAAACCTTCTCCAAACCCAAACCTTCTCCAGATGTCCCACCACCACCCAACCCCTCTCCCCAAGTGCCACCTCACCCTGGGCCGGCGGGAAGAAGACCTCTGGGGCGGGGGCGTTGGTGCGGTGCCACTGGTAGACAGGAGATGGCTTCCCCTTCTTTGAGGTGCACCTCAAGGTCACGTTGGCCCCCACGACGGGCTCCCCGTGGAGCTGGCAGGTAGGGGTGGCCGGGGGCACTGTGGACAACCCCGTTTAAGGCCTTGAAGGACATCAAGGGGGGGGTTGGAAGGCGACGGGGTGAAGCCCTTACCCAAGACAGTGAGGTTGATGACCCCGATGTTCTTGCCCGTGCTGGTGGCATCATCCACCACGTTGACCGTGCACATGTACTGGCCCGAGTCCCCTTCTCGGGTGGCATTGATGAAGAGTGAGATGTTGTGGGTGAGGACGGGGTACAGGAAGCCCACGCGGGGGGTCAGCTCCGTCTCCTCCACCTTCACCTCCCCGTCGATGTAGGTCAAGATCTACACGATGAGAAGAAAGCCCCAAAGCCCTGGATTTTGTGGAGTTCCTCCACGCCGACCGTGGGTGGGGACACAAGTGTCTCCCAGCCGTGGGCACCTCCACACCATGGGCGTCAGGAGCGACTTCTCATGGTGGGCACCTCAAGCATCATCCCATCATGGGCACCATGAGCATCTAGCTCTCCATGGTGGGCACCTCGCCATGGTGGGCACTATGAGCTTCACATCATCATAGGCACCTTCTCATGGCAGGCACCATGAACATCAACTCATCATGAGCATCTTCTCACAATGAGCACCATGAACACCACCCCAACATGGGCACCTTCTCAGGGTGGGCACCTCCACATCACAGGCACCACGATCACAACCCTATCATGGCCACCTTCTCATGGTGGGGACCATGAACGCCACCCTATCGTGGCCACCTTCTCATGGTGAGCACCATGAACACCACTCTATCATGGGTATCTTCTCATGGTGAGGACCATGACCAACAACCCATCACAGGGACCTTCTCATGGTGGTCATTACGAGCCTCAACCCATCATGACCACCTTCTCATGGTGAGCACCATGACCATACCTCATCATGGGCACCTCATGGTGGCCACCATGACCTTACCCCATCATGGCCACCTTCTCATGGTGAGCACCATGAACACCACTCTATCATGGGTATCTTCTCATGGTGAGGACCATGACCAACAACCCATCACAGGGACCTTCTCATGGTGGTCATTACGAGCCTCAACCCATCATGACCACCTTCTCATGGTGAGCACCATGACCATACCTCATCATGGGCACCTCATGGTGGCCACCATGACCTTACCCCATCATGGCCACCTTCTCATGGTGAGCACCATGAACACCACTCTATCATGGGTATCTTCTCATGGTGAGGACCATGACCAACAACCCATCACAGGGACCTTCTCATGGTGGTCATTACGAGCCTCAACCCATCATGACCACCTTCTCATGGTGAGCACCATGACCATACCTCATCATGGGCACCTCATGGTGGCCACCATGACCTTACCCCATCATGGCCACCTTCTCATGGTGAGCACCATGAACACCACTCTATCATGGGTATCTTCTCATGGTGAGGACCATGACCAACAACCCATCACAGGGACCTTCTCATGGTGGTCATTACGAGCCTCAACCCATCATGACCACCTTCTCATGGTGAGCACCATGACCATACCTCATCATGGGCACCTCATGGTGGCCACCATGACCTTACCCCATCATGGCCACCTTCTCATGGTGAGCACCATGACCAACAACCCATCACAGGGTCCTTCTCATGGTAGTCATTATGAGTGTCAACCCATCATGGGCACCTTCTCATGGTGGTCACCATGACCTTACCCCATCATGGCCACCTTCTCATGGTGAGCACCATGAACACCACTCTATCATGGGTATCTTCTCATGGTGAGCACCATGACCAACAAGCCAACCTTCTCATGGTGAGCACCATGACCATACCTCATCATGGGCACCTCATGGTGGCCACCATGACCTTACCCCATCATGGCCACCTTCTCATGGTGAGGACCATGACCAACAACCCATCACAGGGTCCTTCTCATGGTGGTCACCATGAACACCACCCTATCATGGGCACCTTCTCATGGTGGTCACCATGAACACCACCCTATCATGGGCACCTTCTCATGGTGAGGACCATGACCAACACCCCATCATGGCCACTTTCTCATGATGAGCACCATGACCAACACCTCATCACAGGGTCCTCCTCATGGTGGTCATTATGAGTGCCAACCCATCATGGACACCTTCCCATGGTGGCCACCATGACCTTACCCCATCATGACCACCTTCTCATGGTGAGCACCATGACCATACCTCATCATGGGCACCTCATGGTGGCCACCATGACCTTACCCCATCATGGCCACCTTCTCATGGTGAGCACCATGAACACCACTCTATCATGGGTATCTTCTCATGGTGAGGACCATGACCAACAACCCATCACAGGGACCTTCTCATGGTGGTCATTACGAGCCTCAACCCATCATGACCACCTTCTCATGGTGAGCACCATGACCATACCTCATCATGGGCACCTCATGGTGGCCACCATGACCTTACCCCATCATGGCCACCTTCTCATGGTGAGCACCATGAACACCACTCTATCATGGGTATCTTCTCATGGTGAGGACCATGACCAACAACCCATCACAGGGACCTTCTCATGGTGGTCATTACGAGCCTCAACCCATCATGACCACCTTCTCATGGTGAGCACCATGACCATACCTCATCATGGGCACCTCATGGTGGCCACCATGACCTTACCCCATCATGGCCACCTTCTCCTGGTGAGCACCATGACCAACAACCCATCACAGGGTCCTTCTCATGGTAGTCATTATGAGTGTCAACCCATCATGGGCACCTTCTCATGGTGGTCACCATGAACACCACCCTATCATGGGCACCTTCTCATGGTGAGGACCATGACCAACAACCCATCACAGGGTCCTCCTCATGGTGGTCATTATGAGTGTCGACCCATCATGGGCACCTTCCCAAGGTGAGCACCATGACCTTACCTCATCATGGCACCTTCTCATGGTGGTCACCATGAGCCTCAACCCATCATGGGCACCTTCCCATGGTGAGCCATGACCATATCTCATCATGAGCACCCCATGGTGGCCACCATGCCCTTACCCCATGATGGCCACCTTCTCATGGTGCTCCCCACGAGCTCCACCCCACCGGGCCATGTCCCCAGCACCCACCTGGAAGGGGTTGGCATCTTCTTTGTCCAGCAGCCAGGTGACGTAGGGCTTCTTCTGGGAGCGGCTGGTGTACCAGGCGGGCAGCACCACCCCCTGCCCTTCCACGGAGAAGACCCGGCCCGACCCCACGTGGACTTCCAGGACAGCTGAGGAGACACCTGGAGAAGGGATCGAACAAAAGCCCAACCCCGGGATGTGACTCGACCACTTCCCCATCCCACGGGACACCCCGACAGCCCCGGGAGGTGGGGCTGGGGGACAGGTCTCCTCCTGCCCCACCACGGGAGGGATTCTCCTGCTGCTCCCTCCCCGCCCCGCTTCCCAAGGGAAAATCCCTCCTCCCAGGGAGCTCCGGGAAGCTCACTTTTGGGGGACCCTCTCATGATCTTTCAGGGTGGGTTCTCCTATCCCATCCCATCCCAAATATCCCATCCCATCCCAGCTCATCCCAAATATCCCATCCCAGCATCCCCCTTTTTTTTGCTGCCAGCACTAAACTGGGATTATTCACAGGTGGCTTCTCCTCACCCAATCCCATTCCATCCCATCCCAAATACTCCATCCCATCCCATCCTATCCCAAATATTCCATCCCATCCCAAATACTCCATCCCATCCTATCCCATCTCATCCCAAATACTCCATCCCAAATACTCTATCCCATCCCATCCCAAATACTCCATCCCATCCTATCCCATCTCATCCCAAACACGCCATCCCAAATATTCCATCCCATCCCAGCATCTCCCTTCTTTTTCCTGCCAGCACTAAACTGGGATAACTCACGGCCGACTTCTCCTCACCCCCAATCCCATCCCATCCCAAATACTCCATCTCATCCCAAAGATCCCATCCCATCCCAAATACTCCATCTCATCCCAAAGATCCCATCCCAAATACTCCATCTCATCCCAAAGATCCCATCCCATCCCAAATATCTGTTCCTCAGCATCCCAGCATTCCCTTTTTTTTTTTACTGCCAGCACTAAACTGGGATAATTTTCAGCCGGCTTCTCCTCACCCCCTCATCCCATCCCATCCCATCCCAACTATCCCATCCCAAATCTCCCATCCCATCCCCAAATCCCCCATCCCTTTGGGAAGAGGTGCCGGGCTCCGGGTGGATACCAGGGAGGGGAGATTCCCGAGGATGATTCCCCAGCTTTGCCGGGAGGCTCCGGCAGCTCGGGCACGCTCGGATTTATCCCAGTTTTTTTTATCCCCAGGGAATGCCGCCCATCGATCCGTGTCCCCGGCTGGCCCCGCTCCCCACGCCACCTCCCCAGCCCAAATCCTCCCTGTTCTGTGGGATCAGGGGGGGAGAAAATTCCCTGAAATCTGAGGATTTTAGGGATTTCTCCCCCTCCCTCTTTTCCCTACGGATTCAGAGCCTTCAAATGGATTTTTCCAAGGTGGGAAAAGGAAAACAAGGCCCCGGGGGGAGGATTTTTAAGCTTCATCCTCACATCCGTTCCTTATCCGGACGGATCCTTCCCGCTCCAGGCAGGAAACTGCTCCGGCCGATAAGGAATTCCCGGGAATTCAAATCCTCCCGTTTCCCTTCCCCCTCCCCCCCAAAAAAAATCGGGAAAAATCCCCCCCAGCCTGCTGAGGATGTGTAAAAATAGCTCAACCCGGGCTAAGAACATAAATCCCTAAATCCCGGCGCCGCGGGCGGGTGACGGAGACGGCCTCGGATCGGGGGAATAATTAATGTTATTAGTATTAATAAATTTATCGGGGGGATCGTAGGGAATAAAGGATCCAGCAGGGAATAATCCGGGGGGAAAAGTTGGGATGAGACGTTTCTAGGAAGGAAATTTAGGGAATGCTGAGGGATAGGGAAGGGATTTGATTATTAGTTGCTGCTTTTTAGCGTTGGATCGATGAGAGATGGGAGAAATAAGGGAAAATTAGGAGTTAATGATGCGTATTAGGAGTTAATAATGAGTGTTAGGGGTTAATTATGAATGTTAGAAGGATTAATAATCGGATCAAGAATCAAATCGGCGTGGAAAATTAATGGTCAAAATGTTGGAATTATTATCAAGGTGGTTGTAGGAAATTTAGGGAGGAAATAGAGCTGATAATTAGCTAATAAACAGGTCTAAAATGAGTGATTTCTATAGTAAAAGAGCTAATAAATTCTAAAGTTATTCTAAATCTAAGTCAATTTTTATGCGAATTGTGATAATAGGGTGCTAATAGTGGTTATTATCATGATTATAGTGATTTTTATCACGATAGTAGTGAGAATAATAAGAATAATGATCCTAATAATAAGACTATCACGACTAATAAGGGTAATAGTTCTGATAGTGAGAGTAATAGTGACACTAATAGCGATAATGATAATAATAGTTTTAATAATGATCATTATAATATTGGTAATATTTACAACGACAGTAATAATGCTCCTAATAGTACTAATAATGTGGATAAATATAGTCATAATGATGCTAATACCACTGAAGTATAGTAATAATTATACTAATTATTATTTTTATTATAGTAATAATGATGCTAACGCTAATAATACTATTAATATAGTTCATTAATGATGCAGGAAATGACAAAACTACAAAAATTGGGAAAATCCAGGTGGGTTTTTTTTCAGCCTCCAATGTTCTAAATTTAATTAATTTCTATTCAATTGATTAATTTCTTAT